ACCATTGTTAATAAACCAGGAACCCATATTTAGAAAATAATTTTTAACTTTCATCAATCCTGACCAAAAATGGGAATCCCTTTGTTTCCTCTCAACGTGAGTTATAGATTTAGTACCAAGATATTTCCTTTTCAAAAGATCCTGCCACGCACCTTGTTCATTTATTAATTTAATTAGCCACTTACTTAGTAAACACTGGTTTTGGATTTCTATATTATGAACACCAAGTCCCCCTTGATCTTTAGGCTAACAAATAATATCCCATCTTATCAATCTATATTTCTTCTTGCTAAAAGAAACGGGATCTATAATAATCAATTTTTTGAAAAACCCCTTTAGGAATCTCAAAAAATGAAATCATAAACATAACTAAACTTGATAACACAGAGTTAATCAAAACCAATCTCCCACCTACAGACATATGCTTACCTTTCCAACTACTAAGTTTTCTTCTCAATTCTTTGTTCAATTGTTAACTAATATTTATTAGTAAGCTTTCTAAAATGCATAGGAATGCCAAGATATCTAACAGGAAAATCTCCTAGTTTGCACCCAAAAAAATTTGAATATTGCTCATGACATTCCTTTGCTTGGCCAAAGCAAAATAATTCACTCTTGTGAAAATTTATCTTCAGGCCAGATAATTTTTCAAAAGAAATTAAAATCAATTTCATATTTTTAGCTTTCTGTAAATCATGCTCTAAAAAAATGATAGTATCATCAGCATATTGTAAGGGGAAAAGATAACTCGCGCGTACGCGTTGCCGGTGCGCACGCCGGCCCACTAAGGCCCATGCACACACGCGCTTATATTCCTCTCTTTTTTTTTCTTTTTTTAGCCACCGTTTCTTCTTTTTTTCGCTGTTTGTTATTCCTGCCGTACGGATAGATTAGTTCCCTATTTTTACTAGTTATTAGTTTACTAGTAATTTTTAAATCTTAACTTTAAAATTTTCAAATCTCGAGTTGAAAGTTTTCAAATCTTGAGTTGAAAATTTTCAAATCTCAAGTTGAAAGTTTTCAAAGTTTTCAAATCTGGACCTAAAAGTTTTCGAATCTCGTGTTGAAAGTTTTCAAATCTCAAGTTGAAAGTTTTCAAAACTTTCAAATCTGGACTTGAAAGTTTTTGAATCTGAGTTGAAAGTTTTCAAATCTCAAGTTGAAAGTCTTCAAATCCGAGTGGAAAGTTTTTAAAATTTAACTTTAAAATTTAAATCTTAAATCAAAAGTTTTCAAATCTGCCTTAAAATTTTTCAATCTATTAGTAAAAAAATCTCCCGAAATTTTTTTCCCTAATTACTCGTCATTAGTGTTAAGTGGGTGTTATAGATTAGTTAGGGAGGTAATACTACTCTATAGAGTAGTTAGGGAGGTGCTCGTTGCTGGCGCGCACGCGCCAGCTAGCAGCCCCCTATTGTAAGATAGATAAAACATCATCAACCAGATGTGGGACCACTCCAGAAATTTGACCATCATCTTTTGCTCTCTTTATTAATATAGCTAACATATCAACAACTATATTAAAAAGAATTGGAGATAACGGGTCCCCTTGCCTTAAACTCTTGTATGTTTGAAAATTTGATCTCGGTTGGTCATTCACTTTAATGTCAACATGTCCACCTTGGATAAAAGATGCAATCCAATCACACCATTTTTGTGAGAAACCCTTCATTCTCAAAATTTGTTGAACAAACGACCATTTTACTTTATCATAGGCTTTCTCAAAATCAATCTTAAAAAGCACACCACTCTTTTTTTTTGGTGCAATTCATGTATTGTTTCATGAAGAATAACAACACCCTCCATAATATTCCTCCTAGGTATAAAAGCCGTCTATGTGGGACTAATAACCTTCTGAGCCACTCCAGAAATTCTATTTGTAGCAACTTTAGTAAAATTTTTGAAACTGACATTAAGTAAACAAATAGGCCTATATTGTTGAATTTTCAAAGCCTCTTTGCACATGAGCAGTAAAATAATAGTACCAAAATTAATAGAGTAAAGAGGTTAATCTCCTAGTTTGCACCCAAAAATGCATAGGAATGCCAAGATGTCTAACAGGAAAATATCCTAGTTTGCACCCAAAAATATTTGAATATTGCTCGTGACCAAAGTACAGAGACTAAAGAGGTAAATTACAACTATGAAAATCATTAAATAAATCAACCAAATCGGGCTTAATAGCATTTCAGAAAACCTGATAAAACTCAGCTGGGAATCCATCCGGACCCGAAGCTTTATTATGTTCCATTTGAAAAGTCGCATCTTTAATTTCCTCCTCAGAAAAATCTTGTACTAAAGCATTATTTTCTAATTGAGAAACCTGTGAAATATCACTTATTTGGCTTTCATCTAACGTTAAGGAAGAAGCTTCAGGAAGGGCCAAAAGACCTTTATAATAAGTGGTGATATGCGCCTTTAAATTCGCATCACCATTAATTTCCCGATCACCATTAATTTTCCTATGCTTACCATTTGCTACCAAATGAAAATATTTAGTATTCAAGTTCCCTTTCAAAATATCTTAATTTTCCTATGCTTACCATTTGCTACCAAATGAAAATATTTAGTATTCAAGTTCCCTTTCAAAATATTTTAGTCTTATCTCGTTGATACTATTTAATTTTCTCTTCCCTTAGCAAACAAGATACCCTATCCCTCAAATAAAGTCTAGAATCAAGGTCCTCTTGAGTTAACAGAGTTGATTATCAAGAAAATCAAATTATTCTAACAAGACATTCTCTTTCTTATAAATGTCACTAGTCTTTTTGGCCCTCTTAAAAATTGTCTACGAATTTTAGCCTACCAACGCTCTGAAGTAGTATTATCATTAACAACATTTAACCAAATTTCCTTAACAATATCCACAAAACCATCTCTTAAAAGACAATCTAACTCAAACTTAAAATTTTGATGGCTATTGGAAGTAGATGAAAAATTTGTATTTAAGAGTAAAGGAGTATAGTTAGAGATATATCTATTGAGAGCAAACACCGTGTACAACAGAAATATTTATTAGATAAGTATGGATAAACTTTAGATAATCTTTGACTAATAGCTTGATTTAGAAACAATAATAAGTCTTCTTCTAAGCTATTGATTGGTATTTAGGAAAGAAGATCATGCTATATTCAAATTCCCATAAAGATTTCTATTACTTTCTAATCCTTTAAAGTGAACTTAATATTTTTTTTACCAACTCAAAATGAGGCAACAACACCTGTATTAGTGAATCTTCATATGAATTTATACCTAAATGGTTACCTTTCAACCAATTTCAACTTGAATACTACATACTGTAGCACCTCACGGGCTCTCCTGACAATGACAATCGGCATCTTCTTCGCCCTTGATGATGAGATTGCTCTCGTGCCTGCGCCTACGAATAAGTTTGCCATGCTGCACGCCTTTAAAGGAGAGTCACATATGGTGGGACTGCAGCAGCTGCAACATTCTTTTGATGGTGGGACTTAGCGGCATTCTTCTGATGGTGGGACTGAGCAGCATTCCTCATATGGTGGGACTGAGCAGCAGCCGAGTTAGTCTGAGCAGCCCCTTAGGGATAATGTCATTGTGTAATGCTTGGCGGTAAAAAAAACTTTAGTTAGAAATTCTTGGCATAAACAATTTTAGCTAGGAAAAATAGAGATATTCATCGATTTTGTATGTGTTAAGATTTTCAGAAACAGTGAAACACCATGCATGTTTGGTGCTTTTATAGCTTTGAGGGGCATGATAATCCTAGAAACAAATGGATTCCTTCTCTTCTTTTTGTTAGTTCATGTGAATTGGATATGATGTTTTGGATTAAGGTTGTTGACAACCTTTGTTCGGTTCACCATTAATTATCCCACTTTGTCAATTTCCGTAAACAAGTAATGGATAGCAAAATCGCTGTTATCACTACATTGTATGTTTTATCTGTTTGCCATGACAAGAATTTGCGTTTTCCCATCCTAAATCGACGACTGAGGTAGCACAGAAGTCTTCTGAATCGGTGAGAGTCTGCGATTAGGTGCGAGGCGCCGGGAGGAGCTCCTGAATCCAAGCTAGCTCGCTCTAAGAATATCAGAAAGAACTCTGTTTTGAGTAACTAGAACATATATAAAAACCAGCAGCCTGCATACTCATGCATATATAAATATACAATTTCTACCTTTATGGAGAGAATATTTTGTTTCGCATCTATCTATTACTTATTAAAGTAATAAGTAATAGATAAAGAGCCTCCATATTTGCTCTCATGGTCTAGAAAATCTTATATTAATCGGAGAAAAGGAAGGAATAGAGCCCATGTAAAAATACAATTTAAAAATAGCTAAAATTCATAATTAAAAATAAGGAATATTGGAACAGTAGTCTAGAGTCCATACTCCATTCATTGAGGTATGCAATTTATAACTAATTGAAATTTGAAATTAAAAAACAAGAAAATTAAAAGTGGAGGTTTGAGTTCATATATAGAAACGCAATTTAGAAATAATTAAAAATCAAAATTAAAAGTTAAGGAGTAGTGGAAGAAGAGTCCATACAGAAACACAGTTTAGAAATAACGGAAATTGGTAACTTAAAAAAATAAGGGACGGTTGAAAAGTAGCCTAGAATCCATATAGAATTTAGAACTAATTAAAATTCTAAATAATAAAAAAGTAGAGTTTATGGACCCACAAAAGTAAATTATCATTAACGCATAATTAATTGAGTTTTGATTATTAAACTTAAAAAATGAATTTATCTATTTAAATCAACATTTATATAGAAATAGAAAGCCGTTTAGTAATTTAAAAAAACGTGTCGATAGGGATTTAGTTCAATTCAGTATCTTAAATACTACTAGAAATTAACGGAGACTAAGGCTTGTTCGGTTTCCATTTTCCCGTGCTATAGGAGGCTATTATTTTCCCATTTTGGCAATTTCCGTAGGCAACTTGTGGTTGCGGTCTCGTGGATAGCAAAATTTCCCATTTCTTGATGCGTGACGTGGCCTCCTATCTCACTGCATTGGATGGCCACAATTTAGCTAGCCAAGCTCCTCATTGCTTCTCTCTCTCTTGCCCCCATCCATGGCTACGTGTACTCTCCCTCTGCCACCACAAAAGTCGCGCTTTTTCCCCGCCTAAATCGTGGAAGATCAGTGCGGCGGTGGTGCGAGCTCCTCAATCCCCAGCCCGGCCAAGAATTAGCGGGAAAGGTGAGAATTTTCTTGCCCCCACCCGCGCCGTGCCCCCGTGCCGTCTTCTTGGGGTTGGGGGTGGTTCCCCATTCGGATGAACTGTGCTTGTTCGAGTGATTTGCGTGTGCAGATATGATTTTTTGGTTTTTTTTGTTTTGGGCTGTTTCAATTCACTGCGGTAGAGGTCTTGCTACTCCTAGACGGTTTGTGGTTGCTTCCTAGTCCTTCTTCTTCTCCTCTGGCCAGCGAATTCAATTCTCCGGCGAGGTCGATCCGTGCTCGCGCAGGTTGGGGCCATGTTGGACCTCCGCATCAGGTTTGGGGGTGGGAGTGAGGGCGCCGGGTCGGTCGCGTTCTGGATGTGGATCCCGCCGCCGCACTCGCTGGCGTCGGAGGTGATCTCGTGGAGGAGCATATGGCGTGGTGGAAGTGGGCGAGCTTGACGGCGAGCTGGGCTGCATTAGGTGGTGGGCAGCGCGGCGGCGCCCATGGGTGTAGGTTATCACGCTCGGATGCTCTTACAAGACGCCTCCAAGAACTCAATTTGTGGTTCTGAACTTCTCTGAAAAAAGAAGTCTGTTGGTTGTAAATTGGGAAGGGCAATTCATGTTGAATAACAGCAAATAGGGGTGAGCTCAGGGAGTGATAATTAGTGATTTGTTTTTCTCCTCAATTGAATTTTAGGAAGTAGGGTTATAGTGTTTTCTGTAGCTAGGGATTTGACATTGGAGATTATATTTCAAGTGTGATGATGTAGCTTGTTATTTTGTCCAGATACAGTTTACCGTCCCTTGAGCATGGAGCTCTGCACCTCTTCTGTATCAGGTTCGGTACAATGGTCTCGTATATCAGCATTTGACTGTCGAACTCGGTCCCATGGATACGCGAGTTCAAGTTCCTGGGTTTGTCAAAGGAGGAGAAAAACATCCTTTTATGTCATGAATGCTGCGTCGACTGGTGCTCTGCCCCCTACAAAGAAGCTAATCCCACGAACTAATGTCAGAAACATATCCGGTGATAAGCCCAGCAGTGCACTGGAGCAACTTGATATAGAACGTGGCGTCTGTATCCCTTTCCGGAAGTACACTCCAGAGATGGTATTGAACACTTCAAATGGTTATATTTACAGGGTTAGTTTTCTGAAATCCGTTGTAAATATGCTCATTTCCAAATTGCTAGGTCAGAAATAGAGTCTTGGGATCAAGAGGTTCTGTGCTGTCCCTCGCTAGTCGAGGCGTGGAGATAATTTGGAAACTTGGCCTTTACTGGTCAGCTCTAATGTATGACTTCTTGGTTGGGCGAGATGAAGAGATTGTTCCATTCCGTGCCCGCCAGCTCCGCAATCTTCTGTGTGATTTGGGCCCTTCATTCATTAAAGCAGGACAGGTTATATTCTTCTCTTTCTGATAAATCCCTAAATCTCCCAAGACGATAACACTCCAAATATCTCTGCTGCTTCCTTTGTATATTACAGTCCTTAATGCATTTGGTCCCATTGTTTTTGTTAGGTTTTAGCCAACAGGCCTGATATTATTCGAGAGGATTATATGAATGAACTCTGTATCTTGCAAGATGATGTTCCTCCATTTCCTAACCAGGTACATGTGTACTGTAAAAATTCCATGCATGTTTGTGGAAGATTATACTTACTAGGACTGCGGAGGCATCAGGATGATTAACTTAGCTTATTGATCGAATTGACAGGTAGCTTTTTCCATAATTGAGGAGGAACTTGGACAGCCATTAGAGAGATTGTTCAGCAGAATCTCATCACGGACAATAGCAGCTGCAAGCTTAGGCCAAGTTTACCGTGCTACACTTAGAGAAACTGGCGAGGATGTTGCTATTAAGGTTCATGTTTGCTTCATTTTCTTGTATTTGTTTACTACTTTAGTACTTTATTTCTTTTGTGATTTGAGATGATCGAAAAGTTCTATGACTTGATGCTTCATTTTTACCATGGTCCTCTATCTCTATCATGGCCCATGGATGAGTACAAGCGTGTTTCTCACCCTAATGAAATTCGTGACCATTTTACACCTTATGAGTTGTGAAAAAGAATTTAGTTAAATGTTTATACATGCTTCAGTAGAATGTCCAGTCGCCGACTCTATCAGTAGTGTCTTGGACTAGTAGTTTGTGACATTTTTAATGTTTGTTCTTGTACTCATGCATAATATAATGTTTATTGTTGTGCTTATTTATTGATTACTGTGATTCAAAATAACAGGTTCAGAGGCCAGGAATTGAGCCCATCATATATCGAGATCTTTTCCTGTTCCGAACTCTCGCATCCTTTTTGAATGGAATTAGCCTTCAAAAACTAGGCTGCAATGCAGAGCTTATTGTGGATGAATTCGGTGAAAAACTTTTGGAAGAACTTGATTACACCCTTGTAAGCTTTTTGTTCCTTTTTATTGGTGTTATTATGTTCTCAACATAATGAATTAGCTATTGGACAGTAGGTATCACAATCTTACATGTGTTGTCAATGGTGTCCACTTTCTTTTGTTGGGAAGACAGTACCGGAAAAGAGAAAACAATTTCATTGACAAACTCTTATATCTCTCATGGCTTATTTTGTCATGGATGGAATGTTGACGTGCTTTCTATTCCATACAATGCTTTAGGAAGCTACAAACATCGAGGACTTCTTGGAAAATTTCAAGGATGATCCAACTGTCAAGATCCCTCAAGTATATAAGCAGTATTCAGGTTCTCGTGTTTTAGTAATGGAATGGATAGATGGAATCAGATGCACTGACCCACAGGTTTGTAGCATTATTTCTAGTTTTTTTTATCAAAGGTGAAATAGTTCAGTGTAATTTTTCTCGTGTTTTTGAGTCCAAAAGTTTATTTGTACAGGCTATAAAAGAAGCAGGTATTGATGTGGAGGGCTTTCTCACAGTTGGAGTAAGTGCTGCATTGCGTCAGTTGCTTGAATTTGGCCTTTTCCATGGAGATCCACATCCTGGAAATATCTTTGCGATGCGTGATGGTCGTATTGCTTATGTTGACTTTGGCAATGTGGCTGTCCTAAGTCAGGTATGAAATATTGCTTTTTAGCAGTGGTAAAATTCATCTTTGAATTTTTCAGTTAATTGGATTAGTAATATTTTTTGTCAATACTCAATTTGATAAATAATATCTGATTCATGCCTACTATGAAAAAAAAATCGATTCTATAGTAAATAATGTACATTGGTCATTTACAGTCCTGCAATCTGTTAAAACTGCAGAAATATATCTTATCAGGCCTGTTGGCTAAAACAGAAATTGGCTAACAGGTTGTTCTGCTATTGTTTTCCTATGTGCAGCAAAACAAACAAATCCTAATCGATGCTGTTGTTCATGCTGTAAATGAAGACTATGCTGAAATGGCAAATGACTTCACAAGGCTTGGCTTTCTTGCTAGTGGAACAGATGTGTCCCCAATTGTCCCAGCTCTGGAAGCTATTTGGCAAAACTCAGCCGGGAAAGGCTTAGCAGACTTCAATTTCCGGAGTGTAACCGGTAAGGCTGTAATGCTTCGCAGTTTATCTATTACCGAGAACTGGATGTGTGCTTGCTTTGTTCTTCATGATCTATATCAGCATTTTTTTTCAATGCATGGTCATCAAATTATATTACTGCTGAAGGTGGACATTTCTGATCATGATTCATGGATATTATTTTGATGGCATTCCTTGTGGCACCCACACTTGTTAGAATGTTTGCTTGATTATTTTTGTTCTATTAATCATGAATGCTTAGGATAAGACTGCTTTCTATATTCATATATATTTCATCCTCTAATTTATTTATAACCAAATTTATAGGGAAGTTTAATCAGCTTGTGTACAATTACCCCATCCGCATCCCAGAAAGGTTTTCTTTGGTTATTCGTTCATTGTTGACACAAGAAGGGATTTGCTTCACTCTGCAGCCTGATTTTAAGTTTCTTGAGGTGTGACATGTGCCATTCTTTTCAGTTCTCAAGAAAGAAAAAAAATGTGTGATCAGTTCTCACCGTTCACTGTGCTGTTTCAATATCCAGGTTGCATATCCATATGTAGCAAAGCGTCTCTTGACAGATCCAAACCCTGCTCTCCGTGAACGGCTGATACAGGTAACCAGTCAAGGCCTCCTTAACACTACTGCAAAGCTATTGTCCATTGGTAGTTTCTACCATATGATCCACCATTGTATATGTGAAAGTGTGGAATAAAGCATCAGTGCAGAAAATAAACAGCAAGTTTGTTCTGTCAAACTACAGGAAAGAAGCATGTTTTAGCATTTAAATGGTTGACAATTGTGTGACATGCCATTATTTATTTTTAAAAAAGACTTTTACCACTTATGTCGTCACCATGTTTTTTTTCCCTATGAAGGTATTATTCAAAGATGGTCTGTTCCAATGGAAACGGCTAGAAAACCTTATAGTTCTTGCCAAGGAAAACGTGTCCAAGATGAGCAGCAATCCTGCACTAAAAAAGAATAGCTCGTGAGTATCAGAACTGTCTGTTCTATAACGCTCTAAATCTTATTTCTAGAAATACTCTGATCTTGTGAACCACTAGGCAAATTGAGAGAAATCGACAAATGGAGAAGAAATTAGATCTCACCGACACAATAAAAGACGGAGCACGTTTGTTCCTTATCGACGCTGGCATCAGGAGACAACTTATTATGGCTTTCACGGAGGACTCCAAGTTGCATGTAGAAGAGGTACTTTAACATGGATTGTTCACTACAGTATTCACACAAGTTGTATACTAAGGAAAGATGGAAGATAATTTTTCCAGTGGATTACTGTAACCCATTTCTCTCTTTTGCAGCTTGTTGATGTGTACAGACTGGTCGAAGATCAAATCGACATTCCATCAGTTGCTCTCGAGGTTATCCAAGGTAAGTCAGTCGACCTATGTTAGTTGGAAAAACTCTCCTGTTCTTCCATTTGAAATGCATTTACTTTACTTTTCTGTGCAGATTTACCATCCGTCGCGCGCGATTTCATGCTTTCTTGGAGCGATTCCATCCTGTCAGATCGGCAATACTGATCTCAGGTTAACAGTTTAGAGCAGCAAGCAGAAGTGCTGTCAAGACCTGCAGGAGCCATTCTTCCTTCAGTTAACCTACACTAAAATAGATAGATATAGATGACTACATTTTTCCTCTTTGCTGTACACAATTTGGTTTGCTATTCTTTTCTATAGTATATCATTGTATAGGAAACTTGCCATCTGCATTTCATTTATATATTTTCGATGGCTCTGTATATGCCGTTTGTATAGCGGAAGAAAAGGAACTTGTATATAGAATGAGCTTGTATTGTGGGAGAAAGTAGCTATATGTGTACATCGAGGAAACTTACATTATAAGATCAGATCATATGTTTTGCATGTTATAGTTCCCTGGTGACAACTAAGCGTTTTTTTTAAAAAATACGAACCGCACAAAAAATGTGTGAGGCTTCATATCAAACTGTTCAAGATTTTATAGCCTAGGAAGACTATGATTAGGAAAAGAAAACATAACACCAGGCGCCGACGGCTCCTACGCCTAAGCACATCGGGTCAGTTGGTTCAGTTCGACATCTAACGGCAGGTGTTCTACAATACATTTTCTCAGCTTAACTACTAAACAATACTCTCATTTCTAAATATTTGACACAGTTGACTTTTTAGCACATATTTGACCATTCGTCTTATTCAAAAACTTTTATGAAATATATAAAACTATATGTATACATATAAGTATATTTAACAATGAATCAAATGGTAGGAAAATAATTAATAATTACTTAAATTTTTTAATAAGATAAATGGTCAAATATATTTAAAAAGTTAACGACGTTAAATACTTAGAAAGGGAGGGAGTATGTTTTTTTTTAAAATTTTAGCTAATAGTTAATTAATCGTATGTAATCCGCCGCTTCATTTTCATTTCCTGAGAAAGATGTTCCCCTGCCGAACTCAGAATTTTTACAAGTAAAATAATACTAAGAAAGAAAGAATTACATGTTCGGGGATGTAGCTCAAATGGTAGAGCGCTCGCTTTGCATGCGAGAGGCACGGGGTTCGATCCCCCGCATCTCCATTTCGTCAATTTTTTTATCCCATTTTTCTCCATTTATCGTTAGCCATTTCATCCCTTCTTTCGACTGAGGTCTGAGGATATAGCTGTTATTTATCCGGCTACGAGCCAATGCACGTAAACAATCTCCATCCATGTCCAAACTGGCAAGAAGCCAAAAACCCAAAACGAAACATGTGGATTAGCCTTTTCGTTGTGGCGTGCAAAAACAATTTACCCGAGGATAGCTTTATTTTTCTAGTTTTATGTGGTATAGGCGTAAGTAACAATCGGTTGGAAGGATAGCTAAAATTTTTCATCTCCATCGTTTCTCTTGGATTGAGATCTTTCGAGTGCAGTCAGAGAAGCACGCTGTTGTGACTTTAGGGTATTCTCAGCCGTCCGATCTATAACGAACGGATGAGATTGATCGCTACAATACTCTAGAGTAACACGCGAGCAGTATCTATGTACAGTATAGTTACTATTTACCACTAATACTATAGTAAATAACTGCAAAATCACTGTTCCACACGGTAGCACAGGATACAATTTACTTTGCTCCTCTCCCTTTAGCACTTAAAATTTAGAGCCGGATCCCATTTTCTTGGCGTGAAGCTATACGTGGGCCCGGGAGATGCCATGCTGGCAGGTGGGCCCCACGCCAGGGCCCCACCTCATCGCCTCCTCACCACGTCTCGCGCCGCAGCGTATGCACACCTCCTCAGCCTCGAGCTCCTTTGGAATGCACCACCACCTCAAAAAATAATAACAAAAACAAAAGCACTCGACTCGACTCGTGCGCCGCCGCGCGCGCGCACGCACGCACACTCCGGCCTCGCTCGCATGGCGGCGTCCACGGCATCCGCCCCGTTCACGCCGCTCCTCCACCGGCGGCGAGCGAGCGTCCACGGCCGGCGCGGGAGCGGGAGGGCGTTCGTCGCCGTCGTCGTCGCGGCGGCGGCGGGGGGCGCGCCGGAGACGGAGCCGTCCCCGGCTACGGCGGCCGGGGCGGCGGCGCAGGGGAAGAAGAAGACGGTGGACACGAGGATACACTGGTCGGACCCGGACGAAGGGTGGGTCGGCGGGAACGCCAAGAAGGACGGCGGCGGCCGGAAGAAGGAGCCGCTCGGTGGGAGGTTCGCCGACCTCATCAACAACCCGTCCGAGTCTCACTACCAGTTGAGTGCTACTGCTGCCTCTCTTGTCCCATTCTTCATTCATAATTGAACAAATTTCAAAATGACTTGAATTTTGGACAAACTTCAACCAAAATTGAATAAGTCTCGAAATTTCCAACCCGTATGAAAAAAAAAATCACCGTCCTAGTCACAATACCAATTGAGTGTTAACTCCAATGCATAGCGAATATTAGTAAATAACTTAATACCAAAATAACTAGAAGGGGACGAGGCTTTGAGCTTGGAGCTAGCCAGAAAACCCATTGATGTTTTTCGGAGATTGTTTGGTTTCGAGACAATTTTTAGGGGATGTGCAGGGACATTTTTTTTTCTCCTAACAAAACCTTGCCAATTTGCCAATTTTTGGTACTACCTATAGAATTTGAACTTACCTGAACAAATTCCAACAAAAAACTTGTACAAAAAAAAAATCAAACCCAGGTTCTTGGGGGTGGAACCGAAGGCGGACATCGAGGAGATAAAGGCGGCGTACCGGCGGCTGTCCAAGGAGTACCACCCGGACACGACGTCGCTGCCGCTGCGGGAGGCGTCGGAGCGGTTCATCCGGCTGCGGGAGGCGTACAACGTGCTGAGCCGGGAGGAGTCGCGGCGGTTCTACGACTGGACGCTGGCGCAGGAGGCCGAGAGCCGGCGCCTCCAGCAGCTGCGGTCCAGGCTCGAGGACCCCTACCAGCAGGACCTCGACAGCTACCAGTCCGTCCCCGACATGGTCGACCGCCTCGGCGGCCGCAACATGGACCTCAGCGACCAGGCCATGACCGCGCTCACCATCGACATCGGCATCATCATCTTCTGCGTCTTCTGCCTCATCTACGCCGTCTTCTTCAAGGAGCAGTACTAGATTATTCATTCATGCCAGGAAGAAGAAATTTTCAGGTACATATACACTCTCAAGATGTTGTTTGCTATACGTACGGGTGTATCATGATGTAATGCGAAATAAGTACTGCACATCCACACCAAGTAACCAAATGTCCCTGTATCCTGTATTTTGTCCACAAAATTGGATTGTTGCAATGTGTAAATAGGCTCTTGAATGAAATTATTGAAAAAGCAAGTATGGACCTAAAATGGGTAAATTGCCAAACAGCACAATTGGCCTTCCCTATTCTAGTCTCAATATCATGTCAAACAAGAAAGAAAGCAAAAAGGTAATCCGCCTCTGTGTGGTTGAAACTCTTGGACGGAATGTGGTAGGTGTCTAATCTTTTACGAACTGTCACACTCGATGATCTTGACAACAGATGAATCGCCGATCTTCTGGAAAATGATCAACCTGTCATAGGGCTTTAGCATACCAACCGAGCGACCATAGTTCTGTGCAAGTTTTATCCCGTACTCTTCCCTGGTGAGCCCACCAGTTTCAGCCTGTTACAGAAAGTGTTCACGCATATGTACATATTAAGAACAAGTTGAAATTTTAAAAATGCCAAATGGTAATTAAGAGGGGATAATGCAGCTATCATTTTTGTAGAACTACAAAGAAAATTTGCATTGTGGGCTACCGCAAGATGCAAGTTTTGGCATTGCAAAAAAGCAGAAAGTGAAGGTGCCTCTAGTATTTAGCAACTTCAACATACCTCCTCAGTACTCGCCATCAAAGGGTAGACACCTCTTGCAGCAAAACATTGCCTTGCCTGAAAGCAACATAGAAGTGGTAAAATAAGTTGGCATATTCTGTTCCACGAAATGAAAGATTGTTGTAAAACCCAGACAGATATTATAGATATACATGTTACTTACCTGAGTTGTGCCGTAAGAACGCCACTTTGTTGGATCAGAGCCCTCACGTGGGAAGACAACGGCCAACACTGGCATTGGTGGCTTGTACTTGGCAACTAACCTGCAGACAGGATGCATGAAGTGAATTAATAGCACTTGAATGATGGAGGCTTGAAAGGAGTTAATTGTGGAGTACCTGGCAGCTCTTCCTGAGAAAGTGAACACAACGATTGCAGCAGCTTTTACCTTCATTGCAGTGCGAACCTACAAGTGAAAAAATGGATTATCACAATAAATCCTTGATAGCAAAGTAGTATCTGTTCCAAATGAATTAAGAGTGTTTACCGCTGAAGATGCCACAGATTCTTCATGGGGCATTGGATCACCTACATGCTTCACTAATTTCTTGAAGTGAACCAACTGGTTATACACAGACTCAGCCTACAAGCATTTACCATTGATCAGTCAAGAAATTTGGATGGCTCTATTGCAATATTGATGGACAGAAAGAAACATACTTCTGCACATATTCTCCCAACAGTACTCACTGCATCAACTGGATAAGGGCCTCGATGAGTCTCCGCACCAAGCAAAATGCCATCCGTTCCTGCCATTTTTGCAGTATAAGAGAAACTAACAAATTTGTCAACTTGTTGTAATATAATACAGGTTTACAGACCATCTAGGACAGCATTTGCAACATCAGTGGCCTCTGCACGTGTTGGGCGTAGATTGTCAATCATGCTGTCCACAACTCTAGTGATGATCACAGGTTTGCCAGCAAGATTGCATTTCTTAATAGCTGTTTTTTGGGATATGAACACCTGAAGTTCCAAGAGTGAGAGAGGTCATGGTATGAAGCAAGGCATGTAATCATGACATTTTTCCAAATTATGAGTACAGAACAACGGTTCATGCACTAAAATTTCAGATGGATCAACAGCCTATCAGAGAAGAATGAATCACTTAAAGCGTAACTTGATAAGCAATTGATGATAAGATTTTGCACCAGAATAATGAAGATATTCTCATAACTACTATTGGCAAGGCGTCATGAATAAAATGAATATGCACATGTCCAACAGCATGATAGGGATAAATAGTGTATAATGGGGTTTTGAGGAAAAAAATAATTTACATCTTCTGGTGGAAGGTCAATTCCCAGGTCTCCCCGTGAAATAATGACGCCATCAGCTTCTTGGAGAATTTCATCAAAATGATCCAAACCCTAGAAAGGAATAAGCAATGCAGTTAATTGTAATGAGGGAAGTGAAAAGCCCGACAATAATATTTTCATAGAAGCAGGGTAAATACCTCAGTATTTTCAACCTTGGCATATATCTGTGTGTCCTGAAGGCCATGAGATTGAAGAAAAGATCTAAGCTGCATGCCAAATATATGTAAGGATCAGTGGTGTTGCACAACTTTATTGTATATATCAAGATTTAATGCACAAATAGCTTAGATGCTAAGGGAAACATGTGGTCACAGGTACAGGGAGAACCAGTAACACCATGTCTATGAAATATAACACATAAAATTGAAAAACAAATAACATCATGCAGTTCTTCATTGTCTGCAATAATGCTTGATACAGTTCGTTAAAATTTTCCCCTCTAATGTGAGTGTACTGTCAATTGTTGTCAACGTTCAGGATGCATGTACATATAGATGGCCCTTCATTAAACCCAAGAACCAACAGTTCAATTGGCCGAGTTTACATCAAAAACTTCTTGCAAATTGATCTTTTGTGAGTTAAAGCTATAACATAAAAAAAACCACTTAATAATGAACTAAATGAACAATACAAGGAAATCAAGAAGCACATAGATGATCAACAGAATGAATTCAAGTGCAATAGTGGCACAATCAGGGAAAGAAAGCTCACCTCCCTGACATCCTCGGCAGAGCGGGTATGGGAAAGTGATATAATATCAACACTGTTATGTAATCCCCAAGTTGAAATGACCTATTGCAAGGAAACTGTACTTAGAACAATTTTGAGAAGGTACATATATATAATTGCATCAAAACAGAATTGTGCATCATGCATCATTGAAATATGCAATTATGTGTCAAATATGCAACTTGAGAGATAATCATACAATGATCTTGAAAGAAATTCTCTTTTAATTGTTTTGGATTGCAATACACTTCATTGGCCCTTAATAAGTTTTAACTTTGGCAAAGCCTATTAAAAGTCTAGTGACTTGGAACTACTGGGCTTATTAAAAGGTTTGAGCATAAAGGGAAAAAATGAACAGCATGCTAAAATGCACTAAAACAGATGTTTTTACATCCAGCAAAATTATTTGATATTTGCAATATTTTAACTACAATGGCATCATAAACATATTGGTTTTCTTTCTGAACAGGCCATAGCTTTCACTGGTTGAGAATTGGTAAGAAAAACTTTCAAAAAAATGCACTCCTTAACAAATTCTGCTTCCAATTGCCAAAGAAGTTTCTATACAAAAGTATTCTGTCAGCCACATGTAACATGCCAAAAAATTCAAATTTATTTTCTGTAACGTAAATAAGCCCAGTAGTCCCCTTACCTCTTTATCATAATCACTCAAAGTTGGTAAACTGACATGGGCTTTTGAAACATGCAAAGTGAACATGGGGCCTGCAAGTGTAGCTGTATTGGTCACAAGACATTCAACATTTTCTCCAGAAGTTTCCACAACCTGTAAATTACAGCACATAAGGAGATGTACTGAAAAGTGGTATGAAGTCAAAGAAATACAAATTTGCACACCTCAAGCCACGAAGATGTTGTTTCACTTCCTGTGAAGAGATATTGACCAATAAAAAGAGTATCACCCTTCTTGACAGCCTGTATATACACAAAGAAACAATTCACTATGCAATATTTTAAGAATAAAGGTTTCTGAGGTAGAAGAAAACAAAGTCAATACAAGTATTTTAATAGATGTAATTGAAAAGACAAAAGCCTTTAACTCTTGCACAAGTATCCATGAAAATTATTTTAATGACAGCATTCTTGCATGAATCACACAAAATCAAAAGAGGCCCTTCGATAGAAAATCATATGATAAATGTTGCAATATGACAAGTATTAACAGTAATATCATAATTCGCATCTTCATTTTCCCATATTGCTCACTTACTTTTGCAAGACCACCAAACTTAATTGGCAAGATTTCAGAAGAGGGAGCTTTAGAAAGATCTGGTGTTATGGTGACATGATTTCCAGCTTTCAACTCAATTGGTCCACCAGTTGAATTGTGAACCTGAATTTCTGGACCCAGTGTATCCAGCATTACCTATATAGTGTATTAAAATTAGTTAGAAGTTAATAGGATATGCCTCTTAGCACAAATCTTAACTTAAAAGGAGAAAGCAGAAATATCGGATAGTACAACTGAATAACAAAAGGCATGAACTTTCAAACATGTGGATTTGTAAATTGTGATCATTAAAAATGAGGACACAATAACAGATTGTCAATTAGATTAGAAAGTCTTCGGAACACCAGATATTCAAAAATATATGAAATTCAAACTTCACCATTCACTACACCATTTCTGGTAACATTGTTTTAATAAAATCAAACGAGGAAACTAGCATAAATCTAAGCAACATAAATCTCTACATGAAGTAGTACAATATGCATCCCAAATGGAGAAAGTTGGCCAAATTTAGTTTTCACTGAAAAATTGTTATTCAGAAGCTCAAGGCAAATATATTGGAATTGCATTCACATGGAACTAAGAAATGGAATCTTTGGTAAAGGCATATCTCCAAGGAATAGCTACAACAGGAAGCATTTTGCGCAGTTTTTGTACCTAACAGCATAAAACACTTGACAATAACTAATTAAATAGGAACAGAGAAATATAACAGCATCTCAAGAAAGACATACAGTATGTGGGATACTGGGTAGTAATTAAAGAAAAAGCAATGTTTACATATCCAAGCATTTACAAATACCCATAAGAAAATCAAAATGAGTTCACAGATACTGATGTTAACTATTGAAACTAAAACCTAAATAATAGAAAAACATATCACATTTAATGATGGAAACTGATCTTTTTAGTAAACTGTAAACATGCCACCAAGTCACTGTTAAGTAAATTGATAAAGTAACACAAAAGGATCAAATAGGCACATTTTATATATCCTAAATCCTATTTGCCTAAGCGTATCAAAGTATTTGCGCCAAAAGATACTGCCAATCATTTCTGTCATGCCGTCAACTTACAGGGCACAGCTTATTGACATTTTGTGCAGCTTTCCTCAGATTGTTAAGGGTCTCCTGATGATATGAAGCATCCATCCATGAGAAATCAAACCGTGCGACTGCAAAACAAAACATAAAGAGAGCATCATCATTTTTCGTAACAAAAGGAGGGGAAAACAAATCAAGAGCAGGCCCCCAGCACTAAATCGAGTCCAACCTGCCATCCCAGCAGTGAGGCATTCTTGAATAACCTCGACGGAGTGTGAGTTGGGCCCAAGGGTCCCAACAATCTTGGTGAGTGATGGGAATACTTTCTGCAATACACAGGACAAGGCGTAAAGATGACATCCATCATGCTCAAAATCAATTCACTGTGACATGTCAAAATCAAATCAATCCAGTGTTACATGTCAAAATCAGGGCAGCCATACTACCCCCAATCCTTCCACGCATCAAATCCCCACATTGCAATTGCAAATAATACAAATTAATTCCACATGAAAAAAAAATATACGGCATTTTTTTAAAATAATCGTGCGATCACAAGTAACAGCACGCAACATTAAACTCCCCCCTAATCCGGCAGGTCCGCTGCTCGTCCGCAAATCGCATTCTGACGAAATGTATCTCACATCTCGACGAACCCCACCCCTCCCCCGCACACCAAATCGGATCGAACACCGAACCAAACCAAAACAAAAAAATCGATTCAGTATTCACCACCCCCACAGATGGAGAGTGCCCCGAACCCGCCGCTCGTCACCATTCCGCGCAGCGGCGCGTGACATCGAGCGCGAGATCGACCGGAAATGAACCGAAACGGAAGGAGACGAGAGGGGAGGGGCAGGGGGAGGAGCGGCGCTTACGGGCTTGACGGGGGTGAGGACGGAGGTGAGGCGGACGGGCTCGTCCAGGAGCATGTTGGCGCCCTGCATCCTCCCTTCCAGAAGCTTCCGGAAGGTTCGCCTTCTAGGGTTTTTGCGCCTCCTCGATGCGATCGCCTCTCTATCTCTCTCTCCCCAAATCGAAACGGAGGCGAGGCGAGAAGAGAAGAAGAAACCCGAGGTTCGAGGAGTCCGACGCCGCGAGTCGTGAGGAGGAAGAAAGAAAAAAAAACAGAGTCGCGACGTGGCGTGGCTTCTCGTCGACGGTTTGAAGCGACAAATGCTACTACTGGCTACGGTCGCTTACATGTGGGCCCGTGAGATGTTTTGCGCGTGTAGGGACCCACTACCAGTGGAGAGCAAAGCGGGGACACGTGGAGCGTTGAATGGTTGGTCAATCGGGAGGAGGAGGGGAGGAGGATTTTGCGGCGTGGAAAGACGTGCAGAGTTGCAGTATTTGTTGGTCGCCGTTGAGTACGGAGAAGTGGGATTGGCCCGTTTTCTGTAACACAATTCTGTTGTGCCCAGGCGACCGGTTTTAGGTTTTGAGAGTGTCGCAAGTTTTTTTTTCCATCGAAAATCAAATACTCCTTACCTCGTACTCTCTATCCCATAATATAAGGCGCGTACGTAATTTAAGATTTAATCTTTAAAACATTTGACCGATAATTCGTACTCCCTCCATCTAAATAGTCATATTTTATCTTGGCACACAGACCAAGGATAAATAATTCTACTTATCATCCATTTAAATATGCTACTAGTCATCCCTCGTAAACAAGCGATTCATTAATATTTACATGTCTCGATGCCCATGTAGCCAATCATGTGTGGAAAAATGGAGAGTCACGCATTAAATCCGAGAAACTCATTAAGAGGATAGATTGTTGGATTGAAATATGCCTATCAAAAATTAGTTTTTCAGATTTAGAAATATAATTGTCAGGGTTATGGATACCACATACCTAAGAGTGGTTGACTAAATCTCGGCAGAACCTACCACATACCATATCCTATAAGGAAACAACCTGCGGATATAGGAGGAGTTCCGGATAAGGAAAGACAACCAGAGTTCTACATGGAAACGACAAGGACTACTCGGATTGTATCCATATTAGTTCCCTAGTTCTACTTGGACAAGGGGACACCTATGGGTATAAATACAAGGCCCCCTAGGAGGAGAGGGGGGACAATCAACAACCAAGAGAATCAACACCCAATACAATCGACATAGAAGCCACAACATAGAAGCCTACATACGCCAAGACACGCCGCCGGATATTGACTTCAGGGATAAGCACGGCTAGTACCCTACGGTGTCTCCGGATACTGTCAGGAGAGACGAAAGCGCTATCTCTGATCTCGCCGGGCACGGATTCAAGGAGGAAGGCTACCCTGTTGTCGACTATGAGTCAGATCGTCAGACCGCCATATCGACAACAGTTAGAGAGGCTACCCCAAATATTGTACTGGTGTGATTATCATGAATAAGAGCAATATCGGCTTCGGCCAACAGGATGTAGGGTTATTACCTGACAATTCAGGGGCCCGAACCTGTATAAAAATCCTCGTCTCCATCTCTTTTACCTTAGTCTCGCGTATACCCTAGCACCGACAATCCCCATACTATGTAAATACTAGAACCGCGACATCAAACGTCGACAGTGGCACACCAGGTAGGGGGATTTTGGTGCTTCAGGATTTTGACGAGATGGGTTTATGTCACACCCTGAAGTTTCCCCCCCTTTTCTTGATTTAAAAATTGGTTAAATAAATTGCCCGAAGAAATTATCTTAATTAACCTAGAGCTAAATCCCTAATTAATAAATGGATTTAATAATCGAATTCGGCGTGGTGGAATTTTTCTTGAGTTCCCCATGCTCCAATACATTAACATGATTTTTAGTGGAATTTTCAGAGCCTTGGAAATAATTTTAACCAATTAAAATTGAGCAAGTGCAATATTTTTAATCCCAGGAAAATCCATTTTCTCTTTTTCTTTTCTTTTCCCTCCTTTTTCTTTGTTGGGCCGTTGGCCCATCCCTCTCCCGCGGCCCCTCCTCCTTGTGGGCCGGCCCAAGCCGCCCCTCCCTCCTCTCTCGGGACGCCAACAGGTGGGCCCCACCTGTCGGTCGTCTCCTACCTCCGGCAACCGCCGCTGCCGCCGAAACTGCCACGCCGCCGCCGTTTCCCGCCTTCTCCGCTCCACGTCGCGCCTCCACTCCACGCCCACACCTCGTGCCCACGTCGCCGCCCCTCCCCCACTCCTCTCGCCCCCACGCGCGCCCGAGAGTGGGCGGGGTTCAATTTGAATCCCCCTCTCTCTCTTCCTCCCCACTCCCCCACGTCGCCGGCCAAATCGGCCACCTTCCCGGCCACGTCCGCCCCCTCCCGCACCTTTAAATCACTCCCCCGAGCTCCCTCTCTCGTTTTCCCCATTTGCCGCCCTCTCCCGTGCCCCTATCGCCGCCGCGCCTAGCCGCTGTCGCTGCCTATCTCCGGCCGCGTGCTGCCGCCGCTAGAGCCACCTCCGCGCAGTCGCCGCCGTCGTGCTCACCGAGCCCGCCCGCAGCTCGGCCGCCGCTTCGTTGCCGCGAATCACCGCCGGAGCTCCGATTCCCTCGCGCCGCCGGTGAGCTCGCCATTGTTTCCATCTCCGGCTATTTCTCCTCGCCGTGCCGCGGCTCCTCTCTTCTCCCTAACCCCTTCACCGCCTTTTCCCAGGTCGCGCCGCTCCCGTCCGCCGTTTTCCGAAGTGCTGCCGCCGCTCATCCCCTCCCGCTCCTGTCGCCGCCCATCCGGTGAGGACTCCCTCCCCCTCCCTTTTCTCCCCTTCCCGTGTGCGCCGCCGCCTTTGGCCGTGCCGCCGCTCTGGCCGTCCGCCGCCGCCTTTCGCGCCATCCGCCGCCGCCTCCCTCCACCGGTCGTTGCCGTCGGCAGCCGCGCGCGCCGCCGCCGCCGCTCGCCATGGCCGGTCGGTCGGCTCTGTGCCGAGCCGAGCCGTGCCTAGCCGCCGCCCGCGGCGTCCGATCGGCCTCGGGCCAATCCGGACCGTCGGTCCCGTGGACCGGTGGTGGACCATTCGCGTGGTCCTGGTCCACGGTAGACCGGCCACCTTGTGCCGCTGCTAGTGGGGCCCACTTGCCCGAGCCCCCTCTCCCTCCCCTTGTGCGCTGACAAGCGGGGCCCACCTGTCGGCGCAGCCGCCCCCCTTGGATGACGTCAGCCCTGGGATCTTTTGCGCAATAAATTGATTAAGTACTTTTTCTTTATTAGTAAAAACACAGTTTATCTTCTAAAATTCATAAGTAATTCATTCGAGCTCCGTTTAAGTCCATTCAAGTCTCAGTAAATTCATAAAAATGCAAAGAATCCATTAAAAATGGTTTTGTTTCCTGTTTCAGTAGTCTTATAGCATGTTTTGCTTGTGTGCTTTGTTTGTCGCGTAGAATTCGGCCGTTTCGTCGATCCGCGGTTTCTCGAAGACGTTGCTGAGGTCTTGTCAGTGCGAGAGCAAGGCAAGCCATGCTTTACATTTGATCATATTGTACCCAATTTACAAACACCCTGCATTTCTATTAAATGTTGCACTCTTTTACAATGTCATGTGGGATGGGTCCTATTACTTAGCTATATATCGTTTACCATATGCCATTGATAACTGGGGTATCAAAATGATTAGATGTTGGTTTAGGAAATGCTTAGCCATGCTTAGTTCAACTAGTACACAAATGGGGATCACATTATTACATAGACTTTGTCTACTAGCATAGCTTTGGATTGGTGCCACCGCAATGGTGTTAGTTAATTAAAATACACTGAATGGTGGGCTGTGGGTGCATGGTTTTGCTGGTCGCACCCGTGGCAGTTAAGGACTGGTTCACGGGAAACCCTGGGAGACTTACCGTGCTTACCACAAGCGGGAGTGGGTAACTGCTTGATCTGAAGTATAGCTCGACCCTTTCCTAGGCACCAGTGGCGAGGGTGGGCGTGATGGAGTTGGGTCGGCCGGGGTGTCCGGTTGTCCAGCTGCCGGATTCACCGTGGCGCAAGGGGGGACCGCCCATTGCCTTTTGAGGGGTGGGGGGTGAAACCTTAACGTGGTGTGGATGGTTAGGGGAGGGTTATGTGGAGGGTCTTGTCACGATTTCCCCCTTTGCAGTATCATGGTGATACTTCGGGGCATGGCGACATGTGTGGAATCGTGTCTTGTGGGTACAGTTGTACACCTCTGGCCAGAGTAAAACTATTGAATAGCCGTGCCCCCGGTTATGGGCGATCAACCAGATTCACCGTGATTAGTCTCACCCTAGTTTAGCTTAATGAACTGGTGTAGTTCAGGTGGTTGGTTGGGCCTGTTGTAACGTGGTGTAGCGTTGGACAGTGATTGGTTAATATTGATTAATTACTACAGCTGTTTTACTGCTTTCAACTACTGCTTTTAAATGCTAGCTTTATGCAAAAGAACCCCTAGCCTCCTTTGGTTATATCCTGCATCATACCTCCTCTTCCGGTATGACTTGCTGAGTACAGTGGGTAGTACTCAGTCTTGCTCTCTTTTCCCCCACACTAGAGTTGAAGTTCTTCTCAGTTGGAGCCATCTCAGAGAGGTTGGTTTCGTCGCTGCCGTCAAGGATTACCTGTGGAATGGAGTCGCCCCGCTGCTGAAGTCAAGCTTCCGAGTTTAGTTCGTTTGATCTTTTCCGCTGCATTTGTAAACTTTTATATTTTTGTAAGACGTGGATATGTATGTCAACTATTGTCGTTTGTGTACCCTGGATGGTCCTGGACAGGGATTTAATGCACATTCAGCTTAGAAATTCTGGTTCGTGAATTTCTGGGTGTGACAAGATGGTATCAGAGCCGACCTTGACCGTAGGACAAGCCAACTGGAAACCTAAGAGCCCTCTGAACCCCTTTTCATATGCATATGCCTTTTTTCACTTGGATTTGTTTCGGGAAAATTTGGAGTTTTGCCTCTTTGGTTTGCAGGAAAAATCTTGGTCGTTCATTCGGATCGGATTTTTAAATTTAGCTCAGTCTAGGGTTTTAAAAAAATATTATTTGGAGTTTATTTGACAGTCAGTCGGGAATCTATCAGGTGATATGCATTAGGTCATGTCTAGGTTCGATGGGGCAATTTTATGCGTATCATTATAGCTATGCATCTATTTTATGCATTAATTTATTGATTAGCCAGTTGCATCAGTATCTTCATTTGAGTTCATGAGAAATGTTCTATGCATA